AGACACGGTGTAACATTGGTTTTGCTTTGTTTCACAGAACTAATCGTTGCCTGGGTTCTGTACGTATGTGTGGGCGGAGCTATCAAATTAGGGGCGAGACCCTTTTGGGGTAGGGGCGTGCTTGTTTTGGTCATCGACATCGAGTCTGTTCTGTTCTGTGCACTTCAATAACTGTCTGGTTTGGTTCAGCTACAAAATCAGACTACAGAGAACGGTTCGGACTGCTGAAAGGATTATTGGTGCCCCCCTGCCTACCCTCCAAGAACTGTATACATCCAGAGTGAGGAAAAGGGCTCAGAAAATCACTCTGGATCCATCACATCCAAGCCATCTCCTTTTTGAACTTTTGCCATCTGGTCGGCGTTAGAGAGCACCGAATACCAGGACAGCCAGGCACAAGAACAGTTTCTTTCCCCAGGCAATCTACCTCATGAACAGTTAATGTTCTCCCATTGTGCAATTAAAGTATGTGCAATAACCTTATACTTATTTATCACCCTAAATCCTAGTACATCCCTACAACTTTATTTTATTTTATTCTATTCTATCTATAGCACACCTGTACATACAATTTATTCTTTTTTTGTGGTTTATATTTATGCATGTGTATTTTATTCACATCTTATTTTTATTATCTGTGTGTTGTTGTTGTCTCCGTGTACTGGAAGCTTGTGACACTATAACAAATTCCTTGTATGTGCAAACATACTTGGCAATAAAGCTCTTTCTGATTCTGATTCTGATTCTGATTGCAAAAAAAAATACTCATATTTTTGCATAGTGTAAATAGAATCTATCGCTATTATCACTTAGTGTAAATAGAATCCATTGCTATTTGCACTTAGTGTAAATAGCATCTATCACTAAGAAAATATGCAATTTTCACTCAGTGTAAATAGCATCTAATTGCTATTTACACTTAGCCGCTGCCATTTTTTTTTTTACAGCTGATTAACAATAAAACACTGACAGCCAATCAGACTTCATTCAAATTTAAAGGTCTTGTGCATTTAAAAATAGCTATATTCAATGTTTAGATATGCTCGAAACATAGCATGCTGAAGACATCTACTGGTTCAATTTGTGTAAATGCAACAAGAACAGCAAAATCTGAAACTGTCTTTTACGGAAGTATGAATAAAAGTTCTCTTCAAAAAAACTCTCGATAACTCTCCAAGCAGAGTGACGGAGATCTCCCAACTGCTCTCATGTATCCCAAAGCATCTGTTTTTCCTTTGGTGTCTTTGTGAAATGTAAGCAGCAGCAGGTCACCTATATCCACATTCATTACTTTGAAACTACAGTGCGCAAGCTAAGAATAAACAGACAG